GAACTGAAATAGAATAATAATTATTATTTGGTTTCAATTCACAAAGTGTGCGGGTTCAAAAATTTGCATAAAGTTGTTTACATTTTCCAAGATGCGAGAAACGGCCATATTCCGGCGGAAAGGTTGCTGAATATTTTGATAGACTTTTGTCTAACTCTGAATCAGACGAAACTAATTTTAAACTACATGCATGTGACGAAAACAACTTTATCTGGTGAAACCAGCGCCAACACGTCGTCGCTTCGAGACTGATATGTGATGTCTCAGAATAAATTCCCACCGTGTTGGTGCACATCATATTAGTAGTAGCCCCAAATCTGGTCACTAAGATCCACGCCGCTCATGTTTGTGTTGTAGGAATCCATAACTGGCACACTAGGTTCTTCAATATTTGTTCCATCTCACTGCTTTCTTGTATCTTTTTCATCTCCCTGGGTACTTAAAAAGTACACAGGCTTTTTGTCCTTTCAAACAGAAACAACACTATTATTCCTTTTTGACGAAACAAAGATTCTCCCTGACAAAGACATTTCACTCTTTGTACGGGGGGCCCAATTTCCCTTGGAATGCCTTGGTGATTTGACCAAACAATCCCATAAATGTAAATCTGTTCAGTTCTCATAACATGTCTTAGGCAAGGGCAACTAAATTAAAAAAATTGTTCAAAAAAACATGGTGGTTTTTGTCAAGTAAAGTTCTTGTGAGGTTATCGACCACGTGGTATCTGAGCCCTTGTTCAGGATTTCCGTCCCGTTGTCTTCCTGTGTAAACACTCGTGTCACAAACAAAGCCATATGAGGGATCCGCACATTCCCACACTTTGATGCCTCTTTTTACAGGTTTGAGCAGTATATACTGTTTCATTGAAAATCTTCCTTTAAAAGGAATCATTGCCTCATCAATAGGCCTTTGTCATGTGGCGGCCATTTTGTCTCAGGAGATTTAAAAAGCTTTGTTTATGCACAGCTAGCCTCATTCTCTACAAGGCTAGCAGTGCATAAACAAAGCTACTTAAATTTAAGTTGGCTGGTACTTGCTTTTTATAGCATTCACAACGGAGTCAAGAAGAGGACGTATTTTGAATAATTTGTCGTGGTTCCCATGACAGTGTGGCAACTCTTTTTTCTTATCAGTCAAATGCAAGTACTGCAATATTTGGTGTACTGATTTCTTGGAAAAGTCTTCTGCACTTCTGGAACTTCTAGATGGGGATTTTTAGACCAGTACGAATAAACTGCTGGCTCCCTTGCTATCTTACTCAAATAATGCTGCCATTACAACGTCAACATTATTTTTGAAATTGCAACCATCGAATTCTTAAAAAATTTGTATGAACACCACCCCTGATAGTTAGAGCAAAAAATAACATTCTACGATGGCTAATGGGAAGAAAAAAATTGTGGCATAAAATGATACAGTCATTATGATAGAAGGATGTCAAGGTGCTAAATTAACAAATATTTTCATTCTAGCATGTAGCTATAAAATGATATTTTTAACACAATGGTGAAAGGTATGATATTAGCAAGGAAAAAAACTAAAAAAAGTAAATAAATAACACCACTATACACTATATGGACAAAAGAACGGGTATGGTCAACTTTCAAATTGTGTATTCAGAAAATGTTGCTTTATCAAGCATGAGAAAGAGAAAGTTGGGAGGTCTTTCAAATTATGGGGAAGATCTTTCCATTCAGCGTCAGCAATAGATCATTAATTAAAGTGAATAGCGGAGCATCCTATATTTTTGATATTATACTTTCTTGACCGACCTTGCTTAAACCAGTAAGCTCCAGAACCCTGAGCCCAGACCATCCCCTGAAATTCTAGACAAAATGGCTGCCTCAATGAAAAAACAGAGTTAGTTACAAAACAACTCAAGGTTTTAATGACTGCAATGAAACTTCACACAATTGCTACCAAAACAATGAAAACTTAGTTTCATCAATTCAATTTTTGAGATGAAAACAATACTTTCTTTAACATGTTTTTAACCTGGAGAATCCAGTCAACATTATGATCTTCAGACAGGTGACTACTATGTCTGGGTTATTTAGAAATATTATTTTCAGCACAGTAAGTTTCCCGTTTACTCTTACTTCATCTGAAAGGCTTATTAAAAGAGCTAACGAGAAAATCTTACACTCAATGAGGCACATGTCGGTGATGGTGGAGTAAAAACTACAAGATTGTTCGCACAGGTAAAGTTTGAATTTGCCACCATTGTTGACCTCACCATGTGTCGCAGGATGAAGCCTCATGTTCGACCTCAATGTTGAATTTTATCAAGTCAAGCCTGCCAAGAACTGATACAGATTTAGAATAAAGCAAGAATTAATATAAAAGTTTGTTCATTTCATTGATAATGAACTATAAATTTCCTCAAACAAAGAATTCAGTTGTTACTATCTTTGAACAATGGTGAACTTGCGAACAGCACTCAAAATTACCACTTAAAAATCGTGTTTTTGAAAACTTAAACTGCATTTTAAAATCACAAATAACTCTAATAAAAGAAACAAATCTTCATTGTCGAATATTTTATTAATTTCTACCATGCCATTCAGAAAAACAGGACTGTTCACCACACATTTGGTGACAAAGGAATTCCGCACTGTTTGCATCTGTATGAGGTTTCTAATAGATGTCCTTCATTTCATTTCTTGCCCACTTTTGCGCACATGGCATAAGCCTTGCAGTTTGCCTAGGACGTGGCTATGCAGATTTTCTTCAGTGGTAACAGTTGTGATGTCGTGACTGATAGTGCTGTGGGGAGGTTAGTATCCATTGTAGCCAGCAATGAGAAGCATGCTAGGCTAGTTCTTGCTGAAAGTCCAATTGGCTTTGCTTCTTCTTGCCAGCTAGTTTCCTCAAAATGAAGGCTTTCATGATCCCTAAATTAAGGAAAAACTGAAGCCAGTACTTCCACCACTTTCTAGATAATGATCAAGGAACGTAGTATTTTAACTACAGTATTGGTCATTAACGTCGACCCTGTTCATGCCCCCATTATAAACAATTACCACTTCAGGTTTCTTTACTGCATCTGCTGGGACAACTCACTTTCTCCTTCTTTGCACAACCTGCTGTTCTTCGTGAATTTCTGGCTCTGAAAGAGTGTTTGTGGACAAAAGTGAGACAACACTCTTGACTCCACATCGTAGCTTCGTTCTGGCAGGTTCTTATTTCGCCCTGAACGAGTTTCATTCATTTGAGGTCTGCGGGAAAGTCTCTCCTGTTGTTCTCATGGTACCACTAGCATACATATAACTCGATTCTAAATCTTGCATCAAGTCCGCTGAGGTAAACAAATTGTCAAAGGGATGCTAGCCTCAGCAAATTGCCTTTCAAGAAGGAACAAGTAGAAACGTCAAAATGCATTTTTGCACTTATTTTTTGTCCTGAAATGTGTTTTTTGGTGTTTTTTTGACAAAATAATGACCAAAATGAAGTTTCTCGTGTTTTGATGAGAAATGAGAAATATTAGGAGATATAGAAATGGTACATTTTAGTTTGTACTGGGTGAAAACACAAAGACGCTTACACGTAACACTTGACACTGTCCTTTATTTTACATTGCTTGGAACAGAAACGTTAATGAGTAATGAACGGGTCCTTTTACAAATGAAGGAATGTAAGTCTTCTGAACTGCTTTGTTAAAATTACATGATTTGTACACTCTTAACTTTTTCATGATATATGGGACTCAATGGAATAGTCTACAGGCAAATCTTTTCTTAAAAATATATCCATATTTAAAAAAACTTTGTCTTTCTACAAATATGTATAAATTTATGAAATCCATCAACTCATCAAACCAGAAATTCATAGAATGCTACGAAACCATATAAGCTAAGTCATAAATTTATGAAATCCTTCAGCTCTTGAAAAATGGGTCAAAAATCGATAATATATTACATCTTTCAAACAGCTCATAAGTTTATGAAACACAACCTGGTCTACAAACAGCTCATAAATGTATGAAATTCAACTTGGTCTACAAACAGCTCATATAAATTTATGAGATAAAAGTGGTCTACAAACAGCTCATAAGTTTATGAAACACAACCTGGTCTACAAACAGCTCATAAATGTATGAAATTCAATTTGGTCTACAAACAGCTCATATAAATTTATGAAATACAACTTCTATTAATGTTACAGCGCGCAGACGCAGAGAAAACACAATATTCTTTGGTGGGCAAAGTTGGGCAGGGAATATACCCGCAAGGCTCGGATAAAACCCACCGAGCGGATAATGACCGAATGAGGGGCCTCGGTACATGGCGCCATACCGAGGGGGTGCCTCATGCCTGTACTGCAAGGGGGGGCATAGTTCACGCGTGAAAACGCATGGCCGGCATAATGTCCTTGGGCCAAGTTAACCAAGTCCAGCAAATCCTATAGCCCCCCCTCCCTGACGGGGCTTCAGCACAGGGCTGAAGGGGTGCCGCAGGCAGCAATTCCCCGCCCTTAATGATTTTATTAAACGTCTCTGAATCTACAGACAAGAGATAGTGCAAATGCAGTGAACAAATGTAGGAAGGTTAAGGAAGGCAAGAAACAAAGAAAAGGGGAGGGTGGGAGGGGAAAAAACTTTGGTGCTGCTCAACTTGCAGCCTTCAAAGAAAGTGGCGATTGACCGGACTGGCGCAGAATAAGACAAAGAGGCAGGCAGCCAAATAAGGAGATCGCGTGTTTGGGATAAACCGCAGTAGCGATGCAGGCTCAATAGTTGTTGCTTGCCAACATTAACCTTTATTTTATGCTAAAATATCAATTAATGTTACAGCGCGCAGACGCAGAGAAAACACAATATTCTTTGGTGGGCAAAGTTGGGCAGGGAATATACCCGCAAGGCTCGGATAAAACCCACCGAGCGGATGATGACCGAATGAGGGGCCTCGGTACATGGCGCCATACCGAGGGGGTGCCTCATGCCTGTACTGCAAGGGGGGGCATAGTTCACGCGTGAAAACGCATGGCCGGCATAATGTCCTTGGGCCAAGTTAACCAAGTCCAGCAAATCCTATAGCCCCCCCTCCCTGACGGGGCTTCAGCACAGGGCTGAAGGGGTGCCGCGGGCAGCAATTCCCCGCCCAAAACGCCGAGTAATACGAGAAGTGCCCTGTGTAAAGCCCCAGTCTCTAAGACCCTTTCTCCACCTGGTCGCGAGGGCTGGATACAGCTCTTATCCGCTCCACGGGGGAATGAAATGAACCAGAGACCATCGGTGGGGAAAGGGGATTGAGGAGTGGACAAGCGGGTATGATCACGTTCTAACTTAAGAACCCAACCGAAACTAAACTTGGGTAGCATGACTTAATGAATGTTCTAGTAGGACACAGTGTTCTCAATTGTGTTACAATGAGACATCATAGTGTTCTCAATAAACAATACAAAGAGACACTGTAGTGTTCCCATGTTGTTTGTTTTTTTTTTTTTGTTGTTGTTGTTGTTGTTTTTTTTTTTACGCAACATAAGAATGTTCGTGATAAACAGTATAGAGCAGCATAACAGTGTTCCCAAAGCCAAGGAAGCGTGGACAATAGTCATTGCGATGTGACATCTAATTGTTTTCAAGTCATTAACCGGATAGACAGAAGGCCAAATTTTGAGGGACTTGGAGAATGGTTTCTTTGGGTGTCCTGATGTACGACTGATATGCATCAGATTTCCAACGGCCAAGAACTTTAATGAGCCAGTCTGGAAGGCCAGCAGCCCCCGCAGTAGTGGCTGCTCCAATGCGGAAACTGTGTGATGCATAGCAGGTACTATCCAATCCACAAACCTTGAGAAGAGCCCGTAAGTTGTTGGTGAGGGAGGACCGAGTAAGATGTCGTCCATCCGAGAATTGGAAGAGGGGCTGGGTAGCTCCACTGGGATTAGTTTGAAGCAGATAGTCTCTTAACGCGGTGACTGCACATACAGTAGAGTTTGATTTGGCGATAGTGAGCTTGGCTGTCTCACGGAAAGGGTCTGTTTTGGACTTCTTGATGACAACCTCGAAAGACACAGGTTGGACAATGTTGGGGTAAAAGTGGACGTCCGATCTTGTCAGGTGGGATTGAATATTGAACTTGCCGTTGTAAGTGAATTCGCTACTACGTAGAAAGCCAAAGAACGCAAGGGTAAAAGCAGCCCACAACATTGAAGAATCTGTGTCCAACGATTGGAAGGGTTTTAGTTTGGCATAAATTTGGCGGAGGATCGAAATAGTAATAGGGAACCGGGCCCGTTTGGCAATACCGAGGGAGGATTTGATCCCTCGAAGGGTCTTGTATAGGAAGGGCATGGAGGAGAAGTCCAGGGGACAGCCAAACTCAACATGGAGATTCTTAACTGCTGCCAGATAAACTTTAATAGTGCCATACGAAACGGTATTGGATAAGTGGGTGACGTAATGAATTAAGGTTGATTCACTGGTAGGGAGAAAAGGGGTTTGGGGTGAAATGAGTTTATGAAAAAGGCAAAATCTAATAAAGTGTCGCTCCCCAGAGGAATAGGTTCGACGAGTAGAGCTGGCGATGGACTGGAAAATGTAGTGAGCAGCCTGCATAGTTAGACTTTCGTCAGGAAAGGAGGGATTGGACAGGGAACGGGCGATGCATCTGGTGCGAGTTGGTGGAACCGGGGCATCTGAAAGCGAGGTAAACTATCAGCTATGCCGTTGTCGACCCCTGGGACGTGCTTTGCGGTAAAGGTAAAATTAAACTTCAAAGTTTGAAAGGTGATCAAACGGACAAGGTTCATGATGCGGGGATATTTTTGCTAAAATATCAATAAAATCCTTCAAGAAAGAGATACTAATAAAATGTATGAAATATTGCGTCAAACAGAGTTTTTTTATGAAATACATTTGTCTTAAGACAAAGTCATAAAATTAATGTGCTCCAGTCGGCTCAAAACTTGTGTCTGAAGCAATATTATCAGCAACTAATGTTTAGTTATCAGAAGCTTGTCCTAAGAAAATTCACAAATCCATCTATTATCGGCAGGTGTTAAATTAAGTCGGGTGGCATAGGCAATTTGATAGCTAGCCTTGCCCCTGACACAAAAAAGTTGGAAAATGATTTAAAAGATATGTGCTTTGAAACAAGACAAACAAAAGTGGGAAAGGCTTACAGTATAGGAAAAAGCTTCTTATTTTTCCAGTGACATTTTCTCCAACTTCCTTGCCACTGCCACTGTCACTGTCGCCGATGGTGTTGTTTGTTGTGTGCCAGAGCGGTCCATGTTTTTGACGCTGGAGTTCGATGTACTTCTTAAATTTTCTTTATCTTGTACACAGACAACATTCCTTTCATTGGAAAGGCCTTCGGTAATTCCTGCACCTAAAAATCATAATCAGATTCATCAACTGTAGAGATGTACCACAATACTCGGAGCAAAAATAAATTAAACACAGTAAACGGCAGCAAAAAGGTCACTTCTTAAATGCATTGGCATTCTTTGAAACTCAATCACGGTTATTCCAGCTTGTTCAATATGTTATAACAGTCAAAATTTCTTCAAGTTATATGTTTAGAGAGGGGGCAGTATTCAACTTCAGGAAGAATAAGAAAAACTTTGTTTCTTATGCTCTTCAGTTCGTTACACATGTACGTAAATTTACCATATTTCAAGCCGTAGTTATGCAGTGACAGTAAAGGTATTAACAAAAGGTTAAGCAACCTCTACGACTGTGAAAGAGTCATTAAGAAAGGAATTATTAAAGTCCGTCAGTTGCATCTTTCAAGGGTTAAAAAGAAAGTAAATTTATTGTCGTGCTTCATGTCCTGCACTGAACGTCATATTGCAAAATGTCACATTGTTCTCTCTGAAGCCGACGCCAAAGAAATGTACTGAAAAGTGGATGGACATCCAGAGCTGTTGACTTTTGTTTGAAAAATTTTTTGTCATTCCAACATTCTTGTAACCGTCATCGTCATGGTTGCTTAAGGTCGGTTTCCTAATAGTATCCATTTATGAAATAGTTTGTCATATTTTAACTTCCAGTTTATGATGTCACTTACCATTTGAATTTGAGACATCCAACACCCACTGCCCAGGGAAGCTGAATCTGTCTATCAACACCTCTATCAGTTCCCTTTGGTCTTTGGCCGGGGGCACTCTTTCCCTCTAAGTTGAAGGCCTGCTCTGAGGCCTCGCTGTTGACTGACCAGTGGCCTACAAGCAGAGGTCTCAGGCTGTTCACAAGGAGGTTTCCTGTTAAAACATTCTCAAGTTTCAACCATTGAGCCTGTGTATTTCCATTGAACGGAACAATAAAGTGTGACTTCTTTATCAGCTTGATACAAAAAACTACACTAAAACCACTTAAAAATAGCTATGATCATCACATATGAGGTTGAGCCAAATGGCTGCCAAATAACATAAATAACAAAGATAATTGGTCAAGAACAGGAGCTCTATTTGAGAGCTCCTTGGTGTGCGTCCAATTGATTAGATGTCAGTCCAGAAATGAAAGCTGTCCTTGATGCAATGATTCGTTTAAAGGACTAGGTTAAAAACAGATCTCACACCAGCTCAAATCGCCTCACAGGGACCCATTTCATTTATTTATTTGTTTGGATCATGGGTCAGGAAACATGAATTTCGACCACAAAGAGTACCGTAAATCTTTGGATATTAAAGTTGAATTACCCACATTGAAGTAGTCTCTTGTTGTTCCTGGTCAATTGTGACAGTATATTTCTTGTAGAAAAACGTGGAAGCATGGTTTGTTTTGATTTGGAAGCTGGTCAGCACTCGTGAAGTCTTGGTAGCCAGACTTTCTCTTTGAATCCTTGGGCATGGGCACTGAGCATGTGGTGAATAGTGATTTGTTTTCTCAACAATTTGGTGAAATATTCTTCTTTGAACATCAAATTAAAGAAATCTAGCACTGAAAATCCTTTAAAGGTGCTTATAGGACCATTGTTTGCCACAAATGGATTCACTGCAACTGGTTCAAGAGTTGAGTTTCAGGCTGCATCCACTTCTTTGCCACTTTTTGAGTGTGCTAAGATCTTATGAGTCTTCGGTATTTTCAGCTGAAACTGTTATGTTGGATTTGACTCCACAACACTTCTTTGTGATTGGTGTTGTATATCAAACCCTGAAAACTCCTCTTTGTCATTATCCAACTTAAATAATGCTGCCATCAAGAAGTCAAGACCATGGTGGTTGATAATTAAGACGCATCAAGCAAAACATTTTTTGGGTGGTTTTTGATGGTGCTTACTATTGTGGAAAAGGGAAAAATTGGATGGTTTTAAAGCTTTAAATGCTAGCCTTTTTTTCATGAAGATCCATGATGGTTTACTTGCTTTAAGCTAGAGGTGTTATGATGACAAATGTTGCAAAAACATGCACAAATGTTTTAAGAAATGAACAGGCAAAAAAACCAATAATATCAGTCTTATCGTTTGCACTTACAGCGTAGATCCATATTGGTTAATTATCTGCAGTTATGCTCTGTTTGACAGGAAAAACATCACATTTAAGTGGCTTCCCATGTTTAACGTGACTACCTTCCCGAACATGTACTCAAGGAATGTAACTTTTGAAATAAGGTCACATCCATGTTTTCTATCTATCCGTTAATGAAAAAATTTCATCATTGTGTACACCAAATAAGTTGAAGGACCAGTTTGATTTAAGTAATAGTTCTCATAAGAAGTAGGCAATAATTAACAGGCCACATCCAAAGCCACTGTTGACCAACATTGTGTTAATCGGTTAATTAAATATAATCCTCTGGGCCTATTGGTTTATTACAGTTTAAGTGCAAAATTTGGACATATTGGAGAGCTTTAACACTACCTACATACATCTCCTATCTGTCAAAAAGCGTGTGTAGATAAACCTCTCCAATCAAAGAGAAACTAAAACTCATTCCATTTCTTTCCAAACGTAAAGCAAAGACAGTAAAGCTAAGGTATTTTGTGTAAAGGTTCTTTTAACAATGCTTGAAAATATAAGTGGTCACTCGAATAGCTCACATTTGATGGTATTCGTAATGTTCAAAGGATTACCGCCTTCCACCATATCTATTTGTAATCTGCTGCTTCCAACAGACTCAAAAGTTTTTGACAGAAATAAAAACTCTTCTGCACTGAACTCTGGTCCATGTGCATCAATTGTTTCATGTCCCCCGCACAAGTACAAACATGCAATGGCCAGAATTGTGAACTGCCTATTGGCGGAAATTGGAATATGCTGTACTTCAAGCTAACTTTTCTTGACTTGGAAAATAACAATTTGGTCCATGGTGAGACAATTTCAAATATCCAGGCGTTTCAAGGTTATTTCAGTTAGCATCATCTCATGTCTCTTGGAAATGGTTATCTGACAAATGCATTGAAGCCTGATTCAAGCTTGAGAGAGATCTAAATGCCCTGCATGGTATAACAGGTTACAGATTTCCTGTTTCTGACAGCTCAATAAACCAGTTCCTCTTGATGACACTCCACAAGCTTCAGTGGTCCGAGCCAAATCACTAAGGTGCAGAGAGCGAAAAAAATCCTTTAATATTGCTAAATAAACATATCTGTAATGTTCACTCAAATTGCACAGTCCAGCCAGCATTGTACCACCATGAAAGTTCTTTGGGATTTTGCAATAGATATACATGTAGCTTCTTTTCACACCTCCCGCGGACTTTTACAAGTGCTTCTAACAAGTACTTTTTATGAATTTTGCCAGAAGCATTTCGGGGCTTCATTTTCATCAACCATAACACTCCTGCATGATGAAGGATGTGATACGATGTATAAATTATCATGCAAAAGGAATTCTGCTAACAAATTCAGTACACTGCTTGAAGAAGGGAGGCTTGATGGAGAAGGTTGGCTGTTTGCAGGAGAGCTTGCTTATGCCATTAAAAGAGAAGGTGGCAGCACTTTGCAACATAAAAAGAATACCAATTCACTTCCTGGATAATAATCCTCAATCTCCTGAATGGTGTTTGACATGAGGATTATTAGGTTGCTTGGTGCACTTAGGCTTTGTTGGGTGCTTCGGAATCTTGATGGGCTACACAGTCTAAATGCAATGTAGCAGAAATTCTTTTGCATCTGTTACTATTTGTTGCAGAGGCTTGTTGCAGTTTCCTTCCAAAATTGTGAACACATGGAAAATGCCTTGGTAACCACAAGTTTATCCTCCTAGGAAAAAGTGACATCGCTGTAGGAATTGGCAGAAAACCACCACCATATATGGTACACAAAAAAATTTAGTACTTCTATTACATTTTTTGCAGTACTTTCTATAATAATTATTATAGTGATAATTAAATGAGAAATAAGAGTAATTGCTTTAGTACTGATAATTTATTGACGTACATAACTACATTGAGAGACTATCTTATAGATATAATTAACATTTAAGTTTGATGATACTTTGTCATGCTAATACAAGTAATCCATAGGACAAGTAAGGAGGAACATCATTTACATTGAAAGCAAAGGTGATGGGACAGCTTGAGGGTTGGTGACTTATGTGCCCATTATTTTTGCCAGAGAAACTAGTCTTTATTAGAGAATAGAATAAACGATTAGAAGATTTAACTAATACAAAAAGAAACAAAATGGGATTGGCGGAGAAAGAAAACAGATGGAAACATTGCCATAAAAAAATATATAAAAATTTAATTTTCATCTTGACTCTTCATCCCATAAGGTTAAAGTGTTTTGGCCTTTGACGTTAGAAATCCTTTGTGGGCCTTATGGATGCTGTCCCTGAGTGAATTCATGAGTTTGAATAGAATGTGTTGTATGTCCTTGATGGAATGACTTGTAAGAGTGAAGTGGTCTGAAACAGCGGTAGGCTGGTTGATTTAAGTGTAAACTGGGGTTGATGGGCCTACTTGACTCCCCAGCATGTTTAAAATAGCCTTTTTCATAGTTTGGTTCTCACGAGTATGTCTTTGAGCGACCACCCTCTTTTATATGATATGAGGGGCGGATTTTTGTAGATTTCGCTTAGTAATGGCTGTTGCTCTATTAAATGCCAGTTGTCATGAGAATTTGCTTTAGGTTAAGCACTGATGGTTGGTATTGTGTGAGAAAAAGCAAGATTCGTAGGTTTCTCTTTTGTTTCTGTTGAAGGGCTAGTTTCCTGTCTTTGAAATTAACATCTGAAAGGGTTGTGTTAATGAGATCCTCTGGGTAACCTCTGTAGCAGATGTGATTTGAAGTTTGTAATTGTCTTTATGGCCCCATGTTTGTGGTGGGAGTCAGAGAATACACGTGTGTACTTTTTAACTTCTTTATTCTCAGTGGCTCCTAATTTTTCCATCATTGTGCCGAACTGGGTGATTTGAACCTGGAGATTTACTGCAATTTGTTTTGCTGTCTCAATCGTTACATCATTGTTTACAGCTTGCGCTACGTGAGCTGGTTTGATCGATCTACAGTTTTTAGAGTTCAGTGCTTTCTTTCCTTTCTTGATTTTGACCTTGAGTGGTCAATTTCATGCTGATGGAAGTGTATGATTGCACTGAGGGTTTCTTGCTCTGCGTGTTTACGGATTTGATCTCTCTTTTAAAATCATTGTCGGCTCCTATTTTGGCCCTCGCCCTGTATTCTTGGATTTCTGGGCAAGTTCCTTTGTCTGTGTGCCTTTTTAGGGACTTGATTGCTCCTTCGGCCTGGCTGATTTTGTCCTCTGTGGATAGGGTGTGGCTGTGATTAGTGGATGGGCTGTGGCGACGGCCATTCTGAGGGTCCATTTAACTAAAGCGACGGGCTTAAAGCCTGAGTGGTTGGTTATGCAGGACAATTTTTGGCCTTCTGGATGAGCTTCTTGTACAAGTTTGCTTTCCATTGATTCAATGCAGGCATCCAATTCCTGGCAACAATAATTTTTTCAGCAATTTTTTAGAACTTCTTCGCTGCAGTTTCTTCATGTACACCTAACCATAAAAAGACAGTTTAGATGAAACGTTTGTTTTTTTTTTGTTAAGGAAAAGAGATTTGTTTTTTTCCTGGCAATGTTGGCAGGCTTTGAACTACAGGTAATTCAAAGTGTGAGGTTTTTAAATGAAGATAAAATGTGCACACGCCTCAACATTCACCAGTCCTGGTTTCATCTTCTAGCTGCTTCTTACTTGGTTTTTCTTCTTGTGTATAATTTTTCAGCCATTCTTCATCAGCGAGAAACTCATCCATATAAGCTTTTAATCCACTCTCTGTTTCTTTGTCAGTCATGCTTCCTTACCTGCTTTGGAAAACTCTTCTTCGGAGGACATATTCCCATACCTATTGTAACTAATAATCTTCGAAATTGCTCCGTAAATTCAATGCCTTGTGCTTTGGAATGGTGTCCTTTTCTTATATCACAGCTAAAAAAGTCAAATATCAGATGCTTCTCATTGGCTCCTTCCTTATCAGCTCGCAAAACAATGATATGTCCAGGGGGCTGATAGCCGGCAAAAATGTAAGAATTTTAGTAACTTAAGCGCTTATTAAAAAACATCAGAATTCATTATTTTTGAAAAATGCTTTCAAAAATGAGTTCTTGAAGGATATGGAAATCTACCAAACTAAACCAAATTGAATGGTTAGGGGCACTTTAAATACCCTTAGTCTCAGACTTAACGCAATCATTCACAGTTCAATAAACACAAAAGTGAAAATAACAAACAGTTTACCTTTTAGGACAAATCGCACCAAGACTTATTCTCAACAGTGGATCACCCAACCAAGCTTGCATAAACTGAGTGATGCAACCATGCTAGTGAGTGCAAGTGTTAACCTTCTGAAACATACTTTTCCTGGTTGGCTAAGAACAGTCACACCATAAATCTATCATCTCTTTTCATTGGCAGATTGTTATTAACATCATTAAGGACAGTTAGGTATACATTTGAAAGGCAGCATCTTATTAAAATTATTAATATTTTTTTAACATTTTGTCAGTAGACCTTTTTCAAGGAGTGTTGATCACTTGGTCAAGTTCCATAAAGAACAAGCTTGAAGTGTTCTCAATGTCAGCTTTTTCCAGAGACTATCATGGCCTATGGCTGCAGAGAATGCCTGTTAAAGGTTTCAATAATTTTTATTTTCAGTAGAATTAGAAATCGGGCGGAATGCTGCTAGTATTACCCTGCCCTTGATGCTGCACTTGATTTTGCTTTTCTGCTTGTGGTTTTGTGCTCTGTGATTTTTCAGGTGCACCAAGTTGAGAAGTCTATGGCGGCTTATGTGTGCCGTAGGAAAAAGCTGTTGTAGAGTGACAGAAAGTTGATGTTTTTCCCATAATTTTATTTTATTGATTAGTTGTCTTTATTTTGTTATAATTTATTTTTATTTTATTTCTTATTTCTTATTTCCTCGTTCACACAAACAAAATAATAAATGAGTATGGCCTATGAGTGCAATAGGAAAAAAAATTAAAAAAGAAAAAAAAGCGTGCGGCCTAGATGTGCGAAAGACCAGGATGCATTTCGAATCCAATATAGTGGAGGCACGGATTCACTGCTTTCTTTTCCATGATCTCTTTGACAGTACGCCTTGTGTGTCTAGCACGTTCAGTTGTGGATTCACGGATCTCTCGTCTTCTCTCCTTTATCCTTTCAATTATTTTTCCTGGTTTTGTTGGCAATGAAGTCTATTCCTTTCTTTCTTTTCAGCAGCTCTTCTCTCTTGGACCACTTCTTTGCATGAAACAGCAATACTACCTTTTTTGTCCCCATTGACCTCAGAACAATATGTTCTTTCCAAAGAGCTGTTGTTCACAGTTTTTACTTTCGCAGCATTACTTATCTTGGATCGGCATGCCTTTGCTCTTTTGAGCTCTAATGTGTTGTTCCATCTAAGGAGCCCAAAAAGCCATTTCATGAGAAAGAGGTATGCAGTGGAATGATAGGTCCTAAGAATTAAGAAGAGTTTACAAACCAGTTTACTTCTGCCCGTGACTACCGCCAAAAGCAAAAACCTTAATTGAGTGCAATTAGAAAATCCCAATTGGCACAATGTCGCCAGCAAGGTCATGTAAACAATACTCTATTACTTTTTTTTTCGCAGACAAGCCAAGGATAAGCTGCAAAAAGTATTTAAAGTGAAAAACAAATCACAGCTCAAAATTGTATAATAATATTCTCTTAGGAATTGTTCTATTGCATCCTAAGTTATAGTCTACCCTTGTGCACTGAAGTAGATGAACGTCGTGCAGTCTATAGGTCCAGTCTGGTTACATTGAAAATACTTGCTTGCAGTTTGAAGTAAAGTCTTGTGAAGAGAAGGCATACTCATTTATTGCAACTTGAGCTCCTTGACTTGTAACCCCAGCCCTTCTTGTCCTTTATGAGTAGGAGAAGTTTATCAAGTACGTGGCGTTTGTTAGGAAGTCAAAGTCTGGATGATCGAGCATGCAGTTGCCTTTACTTCCTCTCAAGGTTAGTGTTGCCATGGCTGCTGCACCTTCCTTTCAGCAACAAAACTCCAAGGAATTCAAGTAAAGTTCTATATCAAAGTTGCAATTGCACCCAGATTCAGAATTATTTCCAAACAAGGAAAGATTGGAAAGTGCCTGAGTCAACCTAATCTAGTGCATATGGACTCTTGTGAATCACAATTTTAAGCAAACAAAGTTTTATTTTCAGTTACACTTACCATCCATCTAAGTTTAGTTAATTCTCAGACCTATCCTGTAATATTACTGGTGTTAAACCATCTTTACTTTCTTTATGTGGTTCTTTGTAGCCTTCAGGGTTTCAGTTTTGAAGGGCTATGGCTCCATGAGTCTGCTGACTATGCCAAAATCTCCTCAGTTTTCACTTCCTGCTGCCTCAGAAATGTTCCCAGTAGAGCTGGACTTACAGTCCAAATCTTGAGAACTAGATATTAATGGTTTAATTGCGGTTGCCAAGAATTTGACAAATACAGCCACGCTCTCAGTAAATCTCAGATTGTCCCATGTGAAATCACAAAATGTTTTGTCTTAAAAAAGGACATTTTTGGCATTCGCCCCAGTAACACTGTCAAGAAAAATATCATTATACAATGTTCAAAATGTCATCATTGTGGCATCAAGGGAATTAAAGCATTTCTGTATAAGTAGTTAATTCTGCGGGAAAATCACTGCATCTGTTATACATGTAGATCTATAAAGCCAAACTGTTTGTTTACATTTACTGGTAAAGCAGTATTTAATAGCCTAATGAGTGGCACTGATAGTAATTCCTTTCTAAGTTGATTGCAGATCACACTGTTACATTTTATTCTCATTGCCTGTTTTATGTCGTTTCTTGACACTGGCATTGGTGGCTTTTCAAGCTTTCCTTCTTCAAGCTTTTTGGCTTTCGGTTCTGTTGTAAGTTTAGCAATCACTGTTAAGTCTGAAAATGAATGTGACGGGGAATAGGGTTTCGGTTCTGTTGTAAGGATATGTAAAGGCTGTGTTTAACATGTTTTGACATAGCTGAAGCTCTGAACTATGTAGTAATGCCATGAACTGCAGGCAATCCTATTAGTTCCAAGAGAACCCGGTGACAAGTAGGGACTTTGCGCTTGATTAGGCATGTCATGTTGCTCTGGCAAAGGTCCATATTTGTGGATGCTTCATAGGGAAGCTTGTAGAGGTTGGGTTGCATAAGTCTGAACTTTGTGAGGACGTATCAGTTACCCTCACATAGATTGGAATGACCCTTACCCACCAGTGGATCTATGACCTCCGATGACTTCCTTGCAATCCAAATGTATTCAATCTCGTAGAGAGGGCTGTGGATTTTACTTGTAAGTGCACTGACCTTTTTAGGTACACCCTCACAACTATAGTGCGCATACTCCCTATCACTGTCTCCACTTTCTTCGCCGCCGCGCCTTTACTATCTTCCAATTCTTCTTGATCAATCTGCCATCCTGACAGCCAGTTGCATTATGGATGGTCTCAAAAGTTAATGGGTGTTGTTTCACTCTAGAGAAGACAAATCAAGTATTTTAAGAAATCAGTTTCCCTCTGTTTAAGCCTTTGGAAAGCTTCCTAGGATGGAAATCATGGCTAGTTACATAGAATCAACCATTTACTTGAGAGTAAACATGTAATCATAACAACATCCATACTTCTCACAAACAAGCTTTCCTTGACAGATGCCATAAAAGCCAATACACTTAAGTTAGGTTAAATACTAGAGCTTTAATCGAAAACAAGATGAGAAAGCTTTTAATAAAAGTTCTCCCCTCAGCACCCACCATCTATGTGAGCAGGTCCCTAAGACTAAAGGTCATTAATAATAACCTACGCAACAAGAATAGCGCTCACACACTTATTAATACAGAACGTTTTAAGAATACTTTTATCAGTAGACTTATCTGTAGACATAAACTCAATATTTTATAAGTTACGATTTTCTTTATTATTATTTAATTTCTCTTCTTGCTGTGAAAAGTACGTAACATAAGATATGTAGTTTTTATCTTATGAGAAATAAAGACATTTATCATTGTTCTTCTTATTATTATAAACAAATCGTGGCCAGACAAAACAAACATTTTGGCCCAAATGTCTTAGAGTTTAGGCTGTTTTATGGCTGAAAGTTAACCTCTGTTGACCCTCTTTACAATACATCATTCTGTAGCTGTTCCTAACCATTGGCTCTGTAGATTGAACCTTTTTGTGTAAGACGTTTTTGTCGCAAAAGGCCACCTGCTTGCCTTTATAACATTATCATCACCATTAAGGATGACCAGCCTAACACCACTGTCTGTAAAAGAAACCATTACTTAGATTTATGAATGCCTCAGCCTCTCCTCATTATGGATCTCTCACTGGACGAAAAAATGGATTTGCTTCAAATTTGCTACTTCAAATATAGTGCAAATTTGTGCAACCTGAGGGGTTAACTGGAAAGCTTCGTTCAATTTATTAATTTTATTCTCAGCTATATTCTCAGGTAAATTGGAATGATCCTTGTCCATCGCGGGATCCAGGACCTCCATTGCTTTCCTTGCAATCTAAAGGCATTCAGTGTTGTAGAGAAGGCTGTGGATTTCACATGTGCACTTCTCCTTCCCTGTTCTTCTCTTCTCCCTAGTTTGTACACGTGATATGACCACGGTAGCATTTTGATCTAGGATTTTGTGAAGAAACCACGCTAATCACTGTCTGCTTTTGGTAAGCTCCATTTTACGTGGTACTTGAGTTTGTGGTCGTGTTGCAAATATGCTTCAGAGAAAGACACATTGTGGTCAATTCAGAATAAGGCACAGAATATATATCATTTCTCCATTTTCAAGCATTTGTGATCTTTGAGGTGGTCATTTTGCAAGCTGTGCGGTGACTATTGCAAGTCTTTCAAAAGGTGGGTCCATGTGCCAGAAGGAAGATCGCTGCAGTTGCTGAATCCAAAACGTGTGCTATAGTATGAATCACAGTAGACAGAAGTTGCTGATCAGACTGAAAGCAGGGGGAAATATTGCTATGAAGTAATCAAATCTTCTATCCCACTGGACAAAGCCACACCCAGAAAAGTTACATCTTCAAGTTCCTTCACCTCAAGCAAGTCATTCTTGTTCATGCAGCAAATATGCAAAACAGCCTCCTTAAATTTGAACGAAGTGTATGTAGATGCAATCACTGCATAGAGTTCTTGCAACCTTTATGATTCTCTTGGATACTTTTCTCGATAACGTAGATTTATCGTTTGCCTTTTGACTACAAATCGTCTTTGTTTGGCAGTATCTTGTCTTTTGGTATATTCACACTCAACACAACCAATCGTTTCTAAGGCACTCACCCTGCAAGCATTCCTCATGGAACCACACTTTGCACTTGGAACAAGCTATTATGTTTCTGCCACTATACAGCATGAGGCAGATGTAATACATTTTAAGGGTCCAACTATACAGAATATTTGTTTTCTTCTATTTGTCTATGGGTCACCACATTGCTCACAAATTTTTTGATGTCCAGGAAGCTGTCCAAGAGTCCACGACTCATTATCCTTTGGTTGATGAGTTGCTAGACTGGATCTTGATTCCAAAAAGCATAGCCGCACGAGCTATGGCAAAGAGACCACAATCTTTGCTTCAATGCTGCTGCTGGTCATTCTCCACAAACATGGTCAGTGGCCTCTCTTGCTTTGAAATTTGGCATGCGACTTTATGGACAGTGATAGGCTATCTCGTCTCTCCCTCCATTACTGGGACGCTCATTGTTTCAAACTTGCGTATTAGTCCTGCTAGATCCAGTAATGGTAGAACTACATCCCAAGTGCAAAGGTGATGTGGAAATCCCCTTCGCGACTAACTTACTAAGCCGAAGTTGAATAACGAACCACAATCAGCAGAAACATACCCTACACTATCCAGCTGACTTATTGTTCTTGAACACGACTGGAAGCACGCTTCATGTGAACAACAAAATGAATAATCTGCTTTTAAAATAATGTCAATTTCGAGAGCAAAAGACATGTCTTGTTGCAAAGTCCATGAAAGGGCTCTCCATGGCCACTCTTCAGGTATCGTTATTTTCTCTCATCGTTTTAATTTTTATTTGGGTGGTTGTCCGTGTATCTTGGGAAAAATGTTACTATATCCTTTAAAGTTAAGGGAAAATCCTGGCTCCCTTCTCCTATTTTAAGGAGTTTGCGTGGAGACACCTAAATCAGCAGCAATCTCTGTGGCACCACTAACACAACAGTTCTGAAGGAATGACTTATCTTGGCCTCCAGTATCTTGGCCTGACGACGATTTCACCTGCATGCTATATGACTAACCATGCATAACAGATAGCTGAAGAATGACACCATAAATTGTCCTCATATTTTTCTGCAAGGTCTCAAGTTCCTGTACCTCCATATCAGGGAATCCACCAGTCTGGTGCATGTGGTCGACAATGTTGATCAAATGCGGCAAGGCACACAATACCCAATTTGCAATTTGCATCTCTGTTCATTGGAGCTACTGTTTTCCATATCTTTTTTCTACCTCTCTCAACATAGTCATGGCAGTCCTGACGGAGTGGGCCAAGTCATCATCTGCGACAGTTCTAGAAAGTGAGAAAAAAAGCATCAA